CGAAGATTCTCTTTTCGGCGGCGAATTCATTTTCACAGCTGTACAGTCAAAAATATATATGGTTGTTTTGTATGTGTGTGTACATTAAATTTGTAAAACTAAAATACAATTAGTAAGTATTTGGTGGAGTTAAGTAATACAAAATGCGTCCAGAGGAATTGGATGTTAATATAAGAGGGTTAGACGCGTATCCTGTCAAAAATGGTTAGAGAACACTATCCAGCATGGCTGTAGAAAGGAAGTAGTGGCAGTATAAGGAGTTCAATAATCGAACATCTCATCACCACTGGTCATTCCATCTCAACAAACGCCTCCTCCTTCAAAGTAATCTACAAAGTGAAGAACAACCTGCCAAAGACAATACTTTTCCGTCTTCTTTGCACTGCAGAAGCCCTAGTCATTCAGCCGGAAGAGCCAGAACTATGCATACAGAACAAAATTACGCTTATTTTTCTAACTACTTAAAACCATCGCGTAATTCCGTATGTTATTTTGTTTCCATGTACACCCTGAGCACAACTCATTCATCAAACTATTTGTGTCATTATGTAATTCTTCTTTAACAGTCGTTTGTGACAACTCGTCACTTTTATTACTACCCTCTTAAATCATTATCCAATTCCTCTGAACGGTTTTTGTATAACTTAACTCTACCAAAAATTTAATAATTGTATTTTCGTTTGACAGATTTAATGTACATACGAGCATACAAAATAACCACATATATTTGCGATTGTACACTTGTGAAAAGGAATTCGCCGGTGAAAGGAGACTCTTCGCTGAACTACTGTTCTCTCTGTCTCTACGTTTCACTCAAAAAAGACTGGTTCCCGCCTATCATTCTCCTGCTCTAGTGGAGCTAGGTATGTAGTAGACAAAATGTTTGGAAAATCCCTCCTGGATGACTTATTTATAATATTTATACTTACTTAGACATGTCAACTAACTTTGCAATTTGTAAAATCTCAGAGAGATTTAAATGAGTAATTCCAACGTTTCGTTCGGCAATCTGGTCCGAACTTCTTCAGGAAAATTAATCGAAGTTAACATAACAGAGGTTTATATATAAAAGGAACATCTCTTGTTTTGAAAACTTTGTCCAATCATGAGTCATTCAACAAGTATCAACAAGTGTAATAAACAAAATTGTATGAGCTGTGATCAAAATTTGACCTCAGATTTACAAATATTGGTGTACGTTGGAATTATTCATTTCAATCTCGCTGAGATTTTACAAATCTAATTTCTACAAATGTCTACTTCTCACTCGGCGCCCAAATATTTTAGAACTATTCTATCAAATCTTGACGACAGTTCATATGGATAACTTTGCAATTGTTATACGTATTTCCCCTAGACTGTGTATCATTAATTCGATATTTGCATACCAAACGTTGATTTTTCATCTTTATTATTTGCCTTTATCATTGTTTAATCTTTAATTGTAATACTTCTCCTTGTGGTTGTGTGTACATTGACGATGTGTTATTTAATAATTTGAGTTTGTTTTAGTTTTTCATGAAAGTCATTCTGCCCTGGGAAGCCCCGGTGTGTGATCCTTGTGAATAGAGCTGTTAATCCCGATTCCTTGATTCTAAGGTACCTTCTAAAGTTGAACGTTGGTTAACTAATTATGTCTTGTAGTATAAAACTTGGGTACTGTGGTAGAGAATAACTCCATTATGGATAAGACTGTGTAACACCGTGTCACTTATCAAAATAAAATCTTATCTTGTAGCACTTGTTTATATTTAGAAATATACATTGGCTGTATAGCCGCCTAACAGCATCGCTGAGGTAATTTTGAGTTTGATGTTATTATTGTTTAATAGAACTATCAAAAACTCAAGCTTCAAAGTCGTATGATTATAATTGATGATATGATTATGAACAATAAATTTTGTTCGAAACGTCGTCCAGTAAATAATACTGTTTCACTGTGTGTCATACATCTAATAAACAAACTCATATGGAAGAACCGTCAAAATATTGAAAACTAATCGTCTTTATCCCGCGTTTAGAGCGTTTCGCGGTCGCGGTAGCGCGTGTCTCAACAATGCTTGTTGGCTATACATTAGAGCGTAGAGATCAGTTTCCTGTGTTCAGACAATAATCGAGTAAATTTGGTCGCTACAAGTTATGTCAGCCGTACCCAGCGTTTGCTTTGCAAACGTATCATCGGATACTTACCTTCATGGTTTCATAAAGCAGAAAAAACCCTCTTTACTTCAGAGCTCTGTCCTGGAATACCTCTTTGAGTCTAGACACCAAGCTAATCTACATACCAACTCCAAAGTCGTCTACGGAATACCTGAGAATCTTGCTAAAAGAGTGTGAATCAAATTTCTTAAAACAGTAGAAGCACTAAAAATCCACATATTAATTCTCCGAATCAGCATAAAGAAGAAGATTGTCCAGTCACTAAATCTATAGTCAGCCTGACCTGTCTTAACACCGAATAAGTAATTTTTGTTTCTCTAAGTTGTATTATTTTCTTCCCTTGTGCCCTATTAAATTTCCACACCTTATTACCAGTGTTGTTAACCTAACTCTCGTTCAGCTTTAACTGCATTCTATTCAACCCCATCAATTATGATACGTCACCCAATGTACTCGTTTAATCTTATTTTAGTTTCTGCTCGATTAATGCCTTTAAATTACGTAATTTTTTATCTGAAATTTGCAATTCTAATGACACATCTTTAGAAATATTCCTTCTGTTGCTAAGACAGTTTACTATGATGGAGAAGATTTGTTGCTCAGGGGGATGTGATATTGAATTTATTGTGTTCTCTGAGGAGCTGGTTGATTTAACTGCAAAGATTTCGTCGTCCCGCACCTAAACAACATCTACAGCGGAGGTATTAGTATAAAATGAACACATTTAAGTTCTACGTCAATTATGTAATTGTATCTCCTGGCAACCACCATCGTGACTGATTTGTTGTCAATTTACGTCTCTATTGATCACATTTTCATTGATTTGGGATTCGAACTTTCTTGTCATGGGATGGCTTACTTCTTATTACCAGGTAAATTTAGTGTATAATAATGTGCTTGTTGATGGTTGGTTGATTCACTTGAGTACCAGGCTTCTAGGAATTCCCTGGCAGCATTTCCGGTGTTTATATTTATATATTTATATATTTTCCGAACCATCAAGCTGATGTCCATAATTATCCACATGCATTGATATGGAAGAATGTATATCATGTTTTTTACAGCCAATCTGTGTTCTTGGATTTGGATTCATGGATAATTTAAATAAGTTCATTTTTTACTAAAACCTGTGCTGAAGATATTGTCTCGAAGAACGACGAAAGCTTCGCACTTAAGTGAACCAGATGACAGAACACAACTAATTCAACAATTTACTACATATCTCCTATTGTACAGCTGAAGAATGGCATTGCTGGAAAACGTAACCCTCTGATAAACGTCTTTTCTTTTATCTGACTGAATGGGAATTTTTAGGTTGCCTACTATTAGTTTTCAATGACTGCATGTGATTGCCTCATTTTTTAAATATAAGTTCAGATTTACATCACAGCAGTCAACTTGAAAAGTTCTACTAGGCAATGGACTACTAGAAGTGGAAAAGTAAGTTCAATACATACATGGCTTTTGGTCATTTGGATATGATATTGAATATCCTTAACCTTAAGTTCATCGGTTTCAAAAACGCCTTCGACAGACAGCGTTGACCAAGAAGTGATTTGGAAACTACTTCAACACTACGGCGTGTAGTGCCCAAGTCGTTATCAACCTTATTCAACAGTTATATGACAATTCCACGTGTCAGGTGATCCACAACGGAAAACTCAGTGAAATGTTCAGAGTGCATACATGAGTAAAACAAGGCTATCTATTATCAGTGATGATATTCTTAGTTGTGGTGGACTGGGTTATGTGTCAGACTGTGCACAAGGAGTGAGAAGCCAGGAGTACGCTGGACCACCAATTAGAAGACAGAAGAAGATCTGGATTTCGCATGTGGATGATATATGTCCAGTGTCACACAAACTTCAAGACTTAGAGGCAAACGAAAACCAACAAACTGGCTAGAAAAGCTGGCAGCGCGATGACAGGACTGAAGGTGAATACAGAGAAGACGGAGTTGATGAAGATAACCAACCAACAGCAACTGCAACAAAAACTAGCAGCAATCACCATCAATGGGAGACATTTGACAGAGGTTGCCTCCTTCACTTATTTAGGAAGCATCGTTTCAACTGCAGGCCAGTGAAACGGATGAAGATCTCAAAGTCAAAATTGGAAAGGCAAGATACGCCTTCATCAACCTGAAACTACTTTGGAAATCTGCTACACTCAGTATAAGGAACAAGATTTGGATTTTCGATACCAATGTGACGTCAGTCCTTCTATACGGGTCAGAAACTTGCACTGCGTGTAACGAAAAGGATTTCTAACCAAGTTCCAAACCTTTATCAACAGCTGTCTACTTCGCTGACTCCATACTGAAGATCAGATAGCCGGCCAGCCAGAAAGAATTAGCTACGAGAAAATCTGGCTGGGAACAAACTAACTAAGAGCCGATTGTTCAACAAAAATGTAACAGAAAATGGAGATGGATAAGGCATACATTGAAGGAAACATCGCGCTCAATGCAGACCATCTCTCGAGTGGAATCCCAATAGGAAATGACGAGTGGGTCATCGATGCCGGGGTGACATGGAGGAGATCGTGTGAGTTGGATGGGGAGATGAGAGATTATAGACAATTTTGGAGCCAGCCAGCTAAAGAGGACAGCAGAATATAGAAGAAAGTGCAGATGTGTTCATGAAGCCTTATATTCCACTCAGAACCCAAAGAAATAACAATCATATAAGTGAATATCCTAATTAAAAAGAATAAATATGTAAAGCCTAGTTTTCATGTAGCTTTTTCAGACTATTCTACTATAAAATGAAGGGAAAGAAAATCAGTAGTATAACAGCATACAATAAAAAAGAGAATATTATTTTTGCTGAAAATGTTACTTACGCTGGCTCATCTATACAGTGATATGTGATATTCTTAGACTTCACTTTCTCTTCAAGTTTTTTAATGTTAGGTGATTCACAAGTGTGGCTGACAAAAGAAAAACAAGAATGAATGCGTCCTTATAACTTAAATGATATGCAGTTTTAACATAAGTAAGTAAAAGTCTTTTTGAAAGATTACTGTCTGTTATGTGCTGAATCAAAATACACCTAACAGGCCAGGTAATTTACTTGCAATATCTGCCAGCCACAAGTAAGAACTCCATCCACTAAACACAATTACTGTATGTACACGACCGATGGTGCTAGCTCGACTGAAAGATGAAGTAGCTAGACCAACTAGCCACTTCAAATTGTATTTATCAATTCAACTGCGCATGTGGAGCGAGTTATGTTGCCCGTTGCTCTAGGAACTTGATTTTACGTGCTCGAGAACATCTCTCACCACGGCTAAGTAAAGGTGTAGTTAAAACTATTAACAGCTCGATATTAGATCATCTGGTGCAAATCGGTCACAAAGCCAGGCAGCATTGAAGAATCCTTCTCTATAATATACCAGGTGCCTAACAAACTACCAAAATCGTCGAAGCACCGCATGCTCCAAACAGCAGAGGTTATTGCAATTCGCCTCAAACAACCAGTGCTCTGTGTTCAAAAGAAACAAGTTCAGCCCCTACTACTGCCCTGGCCCTCAGAAGAGACTATAAACTCAGGAATTTGTACTATTACCTTTCTTAATTCTTCTGACATTCAGTTTATTTTATGTTGATGCTGTTCAGCTGTAATTTATCAATATTATTGATTTGATGTCATTTAAACATTAATGTCGTTCATAAGACTAGTTCATTCATTCATTATAATGTATATATAATTGTAGAACCTGATGATGAATTTATCGGAAAGAGTACTCTTTCTTCCGTATCAATTCCTTTGAAAATAGAAAACTTGGTCTTTGGGCGATAGCTTTGACTGTCTTGGAGACAGACTGGGATTCAGAATGACAATGAACGATACTACTAAACATGTAGAATTTCTATCATCTTTTCCAATGAATAAATCACTGATAAGCATACACCATTAATAAATAATGAGGGTGCAGGTTTGAGAAACGTGTGTAAAACAAAATGTTGATCCGTGATCCTTTACGTTGCTGGTGGAACATAGGGCCTCGAGCTAGAGGCTTGAAGTTTCGTTAGCAGTAGTGTTTATTCTTTTAACGGGATGGGATTGCTAGGCCTCATGACCAACCTTCCCTCTTTACCAGTCTTATAACTGGCTTAGCGAGGTAAAGGAGCCCGTCTGTGGCCAGTGGTCGAACCTCGAACCACATGTGGCGTATTCGGTGAGCATTCTACCGCTATACCACTGACGCACATTTATCATCAGAAATAATTTGGCAATACGCGGAAGATAGGAGCTAGGTGAAACACTTCTGCTTTATACAACAGAATATATACTTGGAAGTCATTTTGTTAGACAACGGTTTCAACAACAGCACTGTAGTAATTTGTACTGAGGTAAAATCACAAAAGCTGTAAGTAGTACTTCAATAATTTAGCGGCATTCACCTACATGGATCCTACCTTGGTATTTTAGATTCGCATTATTATCAATCTAAGAAATTAAGACACACTCATATGGTTTCACTAAGAAATAGAATGTGGAACACATGTAAACTGACTCAATTAGAGTTGGTACAATGTTGCTTCTAAGTATAACAGTGAGAAGAGTGTTTGTTCCACATGGATCTGATATCTGGGACTGTTAATTTCAATAAGGAGTTAGGTAGTTGTTGGTTGGACAAAAAAGAAATTTAAGTGGGCTGACTTCCTTAGAAAAATTAACAACATTTTACCAATCAGGAAACCATTTACCTGTTGTATCCTACCTATTGTTCCTTACTGCTACCCCATAGTCTTTCCTGGGCTACTTAAAAAGGGCGATGTCATATTTTGAAGGGTATTAAAGGTTGTCAGTAGGGCAAGCGGTGTGTCACCAGGTCACTTCGTTACTACTGTATTCAGCAGACACCTGAACTCATGTGAGAAATGGTCTAAATCCATATGGTCTGACTCTCAGCACCCCTTCTATTCTCAACTCTCCCCACCTTGCATTACATCAGGTAGGACTAGAAGTCATTAAAAAAGGATTATATGCTCGCACACTCAAGTGCGTGAACTCAACGAGACCCTATTTGGTCCTCTCATGTTCTATGTAATAGAGATAATATATTAAGCGCGAATTCTACGACTATGTTATCAGCAAAATAATTGTCTCTTTTATTCTCTCCTATTTGTAATCTGTGGTGACACTATTTCAATTAACTTTTAATTTCATCTATTAACATTGTTATCATTATTTTACCCTTTCTGTACATTTTTGACTCTATTGTCACTGCTAATACCGAAAAAAGTTGCTATTATCAATCCTGTAATATTATTGTTTTTAATTTTTGTTTTTACTGTTGTCGAGTAAATGAGATGCAATATTGTACCAAATGCCGAAAACTCCACTTTTTTTTCTCCTTTTTTATTCCTCTACGTTCCCAGTGGAACATAGGGCTTCAAGATAGAGGCTTGAATTTTCGGTAGCAGTGGTGTTTATTCTTTTAACAGGATGGGGTTGCTAGCCTCATACCCAACCTTCCCTCTTTACCAGTCTTATAACTGGCTTAGCGAGGTAAAGGAGTGCACCTGTGGCCGATGGTTGAACCCCGAACCACATGAGACGTGGTCGGCAAGCATTCTACCGCTGTGCCACCGACGCATTTTATCATAAATACTCTTTTGAAATAAAGCACATTACTATGATTACTAATTTTATGTTGAACAAAACTAGGAGTTAATATAAATTATGGCCGTTTGATAGAAATAATTAGATTTCCCTGGAAACAGATTAACAATCACTAACTGCCTAGAAGATAATGAATTTAGACACGTTTTGTTAATACCGTATAAGTGGATTTTACTAGTCTTTGTTATTTCTCACTCTGATGATATACAAAAAATTATGCTTTAAGTAATGTCTTATCTAAATGAACTTACTTATATTTCTGTTCGCCAAGATTATGAATTACCTTCACAGTCAATTGTTGAATACGAGGATATGTTAGCTGTGGTAGCTCAACACTTGCAAAGACACTTTTCAAAAGAAAGAAAGACAAGAAACATAAATGACTAATTCATTTCAGAATATTTTCATAAGTTTCAAGCATTCTGATTAGTAATTCACTTCAGTAACCGAAGACTTCAGTTCATACAAATCAAAAACAAACATTTGTGCAGAATAATATGTAAATGTATATAGTATTCTGTCATAATTGTAAGGCTTAACTCTGAATTATTGAAAATCTAAAGGTGAAATCAACCACAGTAAGGACGAAACCTATCGTCATACAAATCTATTTTAAAGGTGATAGTATTGCAGGAATAATTAACAGAATATTTCATACATTTGTTCCCTTTAATGAATTTGAACAAAACAAGAACTACAGTTTTTACCGAATAAAGTGGTACCATCTTTTATTTCGTTGCCTTCTCGTCAGCTGCTGCTTACAGGTCAAAGACATTATTAAATGTATCTACAAAAACAGTTTTAACATACTTGCAAAGAGTTCATTTTAAACAGAAATCAATCGATCAATATACATATACACTAATAATATATACATTTATAAATGCAATATTGAACACAATTCCGAGCAATAATAACCATACAAAATGAAAACTTTTCAGTATCTCGCATTAGGATGAAAAATATCCAATTACCAGGGTGGCAAAGAAAGACTGATAACCACTTCTTTCTGAACGCATAAGTCAGGTTTTAGGCGCTTGATGGAAAAGGCTTCAGCAAACTTAAGGAGCATTGAACTCTTTTGCTTATTGATAATTTTGAACGACTCTTAGACGTCCACCTCATGGCCTGTGTCGAGGAGATGCCTGGCGATGGCACTGTTTAAAGCATGTTTTCCCTTTTGACGTAAGCTTTTCGGTACATGTTCAGAAAATCGTAGATATGCTCTTCTTTCTGTTCTTCCAATGTAACTGCTCCCGCAGATACATGTAAATTTGTATATACAGTTGGAGTTAACATGAGAATGATATCTATCGATTTTTGATTGCACCAAAGAGCAAGTTATTCGATAGACGGGAACGAGCTTAGCTGCAGGATAGGCTATGGCTAGTGATATACTCAGCCTTCTGTTGATCATCGCTGCAATGTTTTCACCTTTATAATCAAGCTCAAAGTAGATTGGATTTTTTCTTACTGTGATTTGTTTTTGCATTTGTGACTTCAGATCTTCCATACTCGTTGATGAACCTTTGAGGGTACCCATTGCTCTTCAATGTCTTTTCAAGAAACTCAAATTCTTCCTCTAGTTTCTCTGTAGAGCATATTCTTCTCGCTCTATAGTACAGAGTCTTGACCAGTGCTCGTTTCTAGCTATTTGGACAAAAGCCATTAAAATTTAAGTATTGTTCTTTCCATGTAGGCTTTCGATAAATTGACTTTTGAAGACTACCGTCTTCTAGGCGTTCCATGGCGATGTCGAGGAAGTGGAACTTCCCGTCACTTTCATGTTCCATAGTGAACTCAATGTTGGCGTGTGCATCATTGAATAATCTTAGTAGGTGTGAAGCATGACTTTCATTTTTGCACAGAATATTGAAACATTCTCTAGACAGACTCTATCCTGCAGCCAGATTGGTTCCCGTTTATCGAACAACAAACTCTTTGGTTCAATCAAAGGTTGACAGATACCCTTCCTATGTTAACTTTAATTGTGTAATTGCGGGAGTAATTACATTGGGAGAACAGAAAGAAGGGTACATTTCTGATTTTCTGAACATCTTTCAAAGAACCTACGACTCAAGGATGCAAATACCAAGAACAGTGCTATTGCCGGACATCTTGTTGAAACGAGTCATGAGGTAGACATCGCAAAATCCCTCAAGATTATTAATAGACAGTATAACTCAACCATCCTCGAATTCGCCAAAGCAGTCGTTATCAAACGTTTAAAACCTGACTTGTGTTCAGAAAGACTGACTTATTAGATTTTCCTTGCCTTGGTGACCCAACGCCTTGTCTTTTCGTCTCAATTGATTGCGTAATCTTCTTCTTTTAACTCCCCACCTTTCTTTGCTTTGGTGGAATTCAGTTCTCGTTTGTTTCTATGACTTGAGTTAAACTCATCACACTCACCCTACTGATCATCAACTTCTCTCCTCTTGTCTTTACTGTGCAACTCAATTTCCATTGTATCCAACCATTAATTTTGCATGTTTGTATTTTATTTGAACCTTAATCTCCTCCATTAGTTCCATAAGTGGATCTTCTGAACATCGTTTATCAACAATTCAAAGTGCACCATGATGGCGAGCTACCTAGAGTCATGGTGGCCACATTTCCAAACCTGACTGACTGATAGAATTCAAACTGCAGCAAACAAAAGACTAGACACACATCACACTAGTTACTAGTGTCCAACTGAAAATTAGCATATGTCTCTGTTTACAAAAATTATATTGATCCCTGCAGGTATGACGAAATTCTATGTGCATTCAAGGTTGTAAGTAGTTGAAAAGAATTCAACGACCAGAATAAATGAGATGGTCTCAAATTAATCTGTACAAACATTTGTTTTTACTTTGGTTAAAATAACAAGGATCTGTGAACAAACCATATCATAAATGTCAGCCAACATCATATTCATTTATTTCTCTATTCGAGCCTTATTCACAATAAATACGATATTAGATTCCGCCAGTATTTTTAACATTATTTATTATTATTATTTTATTATAGCTTGATTCCACACCGCATTTTTTGGCACAAGTATGGAATTTTCAGCATGTGATATCGGTGGCCCAAATTTAGCAGGCCGACCATTGATATCTGGTGTGCATCGGCTGCCAATCGAACTCCGGACCATGTGCATGGTCGGCGAGAGTCCTGACCACTGTGCCACTGACGCACATATATATTCAAGCTACCTACATACTTCTATTCCAATTAAACTCCAAAAGCTCCCACACAAATGTACTTTAAACTTTGTGATGCCTTCAGATATTTTAATATAAAACCAGAATGACTAAGTGTTTATTATCATTATCAATTAGAATATTAGAGTAGGCTGAATTATTCACGCTTTAGTAATCGTTCTGTTTTAATGGCCGAAATAAGTAAATTTAGTTGAATTCATTCCCTTATTAACGAAATTTTATACATTATAAACATTAAATTTTAATAGTAAATCTGTAATCTTATCAGTGGTAACGTCTTTGACTGCAGCTCTCACTGGGTGACGCTAATTCGAATCTCAAAAGGGACATGACTGCAGATACACCTTGTTGACTGATGGAGTGGCAACTAGCACGAAACCTGGTTCTGTCAAGCTTTCCTTCCGATTGCCTTTAACCATACAATATCATCAAATCAATGTGCATCGTGATGTCAAGCTACCTAGTGACATGGTGGCCACATTGCAAACCTGACTCATAGAATTCAAACTGCATCAAAGAAATGACTAGACACATCACACTAGTTACTACTGTCCAATTAAAAATTAATATATGTCTCTGTTTACAAAAACTATGTTGAACCTTGCAGGTATGACAAAATTCTATGTACATTCAAAGTTGTAAGTAGTTGAAGAGAATTCAACGACCAAAATAAATGGTGGTCTCATTTTGATCTGTACAAACACTTATTTTTGCTTTGTTTAAAATAAAAAGGATCTGTGAATGAACCATATCATAAATGTCAGCCAATATCGTGTTCATTTATTTCTCTATTTGAGCCTTATTCACAATAAATTATTTATTATTATTGTTTCCTTTAATTCCTAGAGGAACATAGGGCTTCAGTCGTGCGTCTCCATTGCCTTCGGTTCTCTGCTAGAGTCTTCACCTGGCTACAAGTCTGCCCACATGCTTTCATCTCCTCTTCACATGACCTCCTCTAAGTCACAATCGGCTCCCGGTTAGTTCGCTCATTGCCAGAGATCTCTGTTGCTGATCTTTTCTGGCCGGCCATCTGATCTTGAGTATTGAGCGAAGACAACTGTTGGTGAAGGTCTGTAGTTTGTTTGAGATGCTCTTTATGACGCGCAGTGCAAGTCTCTGATCCGTATATTGAGCATCACTGACTTCACATTGGAGTTGAAAATCCGGATCTTATTTTTGATGCTGAGTGCTGTTGACCCCCACACAGACTTGAGAGTAGTGAAAGCTTGTCTTGCTTTTCAGATCCTCGCTGCTTTGATATCCTCGTCAGTTCCGCCTGTAGTTGAAATGATACTTCCCAGGTAGGTAAAAGAGTGTTTGTTTCTTTCAGGTTCCTCCCATTTATGCTGATCGTTGTCTGTTGTTGTTGTTCCTGTCCAGGAATCTTGATTACCTCTGTTTCCTCTATGTTCACCTGAAGTCCTATCTATGATGCCTCTTCTGCCAACTTGTTGCTTTTCGCTTGCATCTCTTCTAGTTTGTAGGAAATCAGACATATATCATCGGCGAAGTCGCATTATCCTGTCACAAGAAATACGATATTAGATTCCGACGGTATTTTTAACATTATTTATTATTATTATTTTATTATAACTTGATTCCACGCAGTACATTTTGGCACAAGTATGGAATTTTCAGCATGTGATATCGGTGGCCCAAATTTAGCAGGCCGACCATTGATATCTGGTGTGCATCGGCTGCCAATCGAACTCCGGACCATGTGCATGGTCGGCGAGAGTCCTAACCACTGTACCACCGACGCACATATATATATTCAAGCTACCTACATACTTCTATTCCAATTAAACTCCAAAAGCTCCTACACAAATGTACTTTAAACTTTGTGTAAATTGATGCCTTCAGATATTTTAATATAAAACCAGAATGACTAAGTGTTTATTATCATTATTAATTAGAATTTTAGAGTAGGCTGAATTATTCACGCTTTAGTAATCGTTCTGTTTTAGTGTCCGAAATAAGTAAGTTTAGTTGAATTCATTCACTTAATAATCAAGATTTCATGCATTCCAAACATCTAATTTTAATAGTAAATCTGTAATCTTATCAGTGGTAACGTCTTTGACTGCAGCTCTAACTGGGTGACACGGATTCGAATCTCAGAAGAGACATGAGTTCCGTCAAGGTGACTGCAGATACACACTGCTGATATAAGTATAAAACTTGGGCACTGTGGTAGAGTGTAATTCCATTATGAGTAAATTTTTATTTTGATAGAGTCTCACAGTGTTGTTATACAGTAATGTTTACTGATGACGTTTCGAGCACAATTTATTACTGCTCATAATCATATCAAGACACTGCTCACACAACTTTCTAAATTCATTTATATAGTTCCATTGTTTTTCACTTGATTTGATTGGTAGTAATATTTTCCCACCTCCGAACTTCGACACACGCTACACAGCGGAATTAGTACGCAGGATGAAGCCGTCACTGGGTGAGTCAAAATGGTTTAATTTAATGCCTAAAACTAATAATGCTAGTAGGATGTATGTTACTATTAAAATACATAAGCCACGTTACGCCATACGACCAATAGTAGATTTTAGAAATACCCCTACATATGAATTATCAAAACACTTAGCTCTAATATTATGCCCCATTAGAAATCGTTCAAATTCTAGACTAACTAATTCATATGAAATGAAAAATAAACAAAATGACATTCAACTAGATAATGATGAAACAATGGTTAGTTTTGATATAACTAGTCTTTATACTAATATACCAGTCAATATGGCCTTAGAAGCAGTTAAAAAAGAACTAACTGCGGATCCTGAACTCAATCACAGGGCAAAGCTGTCCATTGAAGAAATTATTTTAGGGATTCAGCTATGCCTCACATCTACTATCTTTAGATTCCAAGGCAAAATATATAGACAAACTGAAGGTGTAGCAATGGGATCACCAATATCCCCTATCGTAGCAGATATATTTATGGATAGCTGGGAAAATATGGCACTTAATACGTTTAATCCTACTCCAAAAATATGGTGGAGATATGTGGATGACACTTTCACAGTGCTAAAAACAGAACATATCTCTAGCTTCTTGACACACATAAACTCACTAGTGGAGGGAATAAAATTCACATTTGAATCAGAAAATGAACAAGGAGAATTAGCTATGTTAGATTGTAAAATAAAGCGAATAGAAGAAGGCAAACTACACACTAGTGTTTATAGAAAACCAACGCATTCTAATAGATATTTAGACTTTAATTCATCTCATCCTTTAACTGTTAAGGCAGGCTTAGTTAAGTGTCTAACAAACCGAGCCATAGCACTAAGTAGCACAAAAAAAGACCTAAACGATGAAATTAAACAGATAGAACAAGCGTTGGTGTTGAATAATTATCCTATAAAATTCATTAGGAAGATCAAAAAGGTTAAAAGCAAAATAAAAATAATTATGAAACTAGTAATGATAACATAAATAAGAGAGAATATAAGTCATCCACTGTTATACCATATAAGGAGGGGACATCTGAGACCCTCCCTGTGTAGGATTCTTAATAAAGCAGGAATTCGGGTGGTGGCATTCAAACCTACAAACTCACTCAGGTAGGACTAGCTCTGTAGGTTAAAGGACCCTGTTGACCCTATTAAACAAAATAATATAATTTACCAAAAACCCTACAATGACTGTGAAGTCAATTACATAGGTCAGACTAAGAGGTCGGGGGTAGTCAGATTATCAGAACATAGGAATTTAGCTAAGGGAAGAATGGTTGACCCAGAGAAGATAAGTAATTTAGAAAAAAGCTCAGCAATTGCACTTCACGCATTAACACACAACCACACAATAGGGTGGGTGGGATAGGGTTAAAATTCTAAAGAGTAACATAGGTAGGTGGAGAGAGAGGTTGATTACGGAATCCTTTTTCATTGAGTCTACACCCAACACAACACATGCAACAGAAATGACTCAATGCAAATACCAGAAATATGGAAGATATTACCTCCGGTCAAATCAGAAGAGAATAATAAATAATCTTAATATTCTGTTTCAATTCACGTACATCACAACATTCTAAGAAGTAACTTGTTATGACTATAAAAACACTCGTTTTATTTCCCATCTAATTGCAACTGATCAATAACACTTGTATTATTATTTATGAATGTACATTATCCTATAGTGATTTTTATTCCAATATCTAATCGATTCCACACATGTATATAAATGAAGGAAAAAGTTGTGTGAGTGAGTAACTTGATATGATTATGAGCAGTAATAATTTGTGCTCGAAACGTGGTCATCAGTTAATATTAATGATACACACTGCTGATTGATGGAATGCCAACTACCACGAAACCTAGGTGAAGCAAAGCTTCCTGCCGATTGCCTGCAACCATTGAATATCATCAGATCAATGTGCACAATGATGGTGAGCTACCTAGTGGCATGGTGACCACATTGCAAAACTGACTGGCTGACTGATAGAACTCAGTTTGCACCCAAAGAAAGGACTAGACACATCACACTAGTTACTAGTGTTCAATCAAAATAATCTTATCAATATCACAGCCACTTTTTGGTAACCACAATGTGTAACATTAGCCTGGATGTTTTGGCTTTGTTGTTTTGGTATATGCGTCGGTGGTCCAGTGGTAGAATGCTCGCCAACTACGCCTCATTCGGTCAGGGGATTTATTCCTGTCTGACGCATTCTTAAACCTAGCTGGGCCTCTAATAAGACAGATAAAGAGGAAAAGTTGGTTATAAGGTTAACAATTCCACCTTGTAGACGTTAAAGCTACTGTTACCTGAACTTCAAAGCTCTAACTTGAAGTCTTATGTTCCACCAGGAACGTAAATGAATAAAATAAAAATAATTTAGTAAATTGTTAAAAGAGACGAAAAGATAAGACAAGATGCTGATGAAATTCACAGGTTGGATTTCAAACTTACCCATGTTCTCTAAACGGATGTTCTACAGATCCATTCAGTACAACAACAACCTTGCCGAATGCTCTTTTAGCATACTACAATGAAGAACAGACAGCAAAACATTTCATTCGTATTCAGTGAATATATATATATTTATATTGAAGAAGGATGTATTTTAAACACATAATGGATATCTTTAATTTCGCGTTACGATAAGTTCTACAATGTTCAATGAACGCTTACTCTATCGGTTAATCTGTACACTATATCAATAAATAAAATATTGATTTCTATAAATGAAAACAATTCAGTTTATATGTACAGAAATCAAATTCACAATTTGCAATTCATGCAGTTCAAGTGGTGTGAAGCAAGTTATATTCTGATAAAAATATGTGATCTGTTTGGTACCATAAATGTTAATTAAGAATGCAAGAGAATTTGCATAAAACTGTGTCCTACTGACTGACTGAGATGAGTACTTTCATACCACGCATATCAACTAGTAGTGTCTACTAGCCAGCCAGATGAAAGTGATATAAAACCTCGACGGCCATTTAGCTAGTTCGCAGTCGAGCTCATCAGTGGTGTATCCGGTTATACTCAGCTCAGAGAAGTCAATCAGTTTGAACCACCTGACTTCTGGCTAGCTACTTGAAAACTACGGCGAAATCCACCACTCAAACTGTGTTAATTGCAAATTGCCTACAAATTTATAAACCTCGCCTAGATTACTAGGTCACTAGTATTCTAGCCGGTCCCAAGCCCGGATAAAGAGGGAGGGTTGGGGCGTGGTGCTAGCAACTCCACCCCCAAACTTAACCAAATCGCTACAAAAACTCCAACGCACAAATATATTAAAAAATTTTAAAGTACAAACAATAACCTTATTTTTCAATGGAATCGAGGAAGTGAAATGACGCAGACTGGTGAAAGCCTTCGGGAAGCCAGTCAGCCGATGTGCCTTCTTTCGATGAAAGTAGAAATAGGAATGGGGACGTGGAATATTCGTACAATGTACGAAGCTGGAAAGGCTGCCCAGGTAGCCGCAGAAATGAGGAGATATAAAATAGAAGTATTGGGAATCTGCGAGAGCAGATGGAACGGATGCGGAAGGTGCCGACTACCAACTGGAGAGACAAAATCTACTCCGGTCACCCAGAGGACGATCACGAGCACACCGAGGGAGTAGCCATCATGTCACCGATAGCAGCTAAAGCTCTCATGCAGTGGGAACCAATCTCCTCCAGGATAATGACAGCCAGGTTCAACTCAAAAGGAAAGAAAGTTACAATAATTCAATGCTGTGCGCCTACAAACGTCTCAGAACAAGAGAAGAAGGAGGATTTCTACAGTCAACTACAAACAGTAATGGACAACGTCCCAAAGAGCGATATCAAAATCCTGATGGGCGACATGAATGCGAAACTGGGAGGAGACAATACAGGAAGAGAACTCACCATGGGTCGTGAGGCCCTCGGTGAAATGAACGAAAATGGTGAACTCTTCTCAGACTTCTGCGCCTTCAATGATTTGGTGATTGGTGGCAGTGTGTTCAAACACAGGGATATACACAAGGCGACATGGATTTCACCAGATGGACACACCGAAAACCAGATAGACTTCATTTCAATCTCAAGGAAGTGGAGACGGAGCCTACTGGACACAAGATTGAGGAGAGGAGGAGATGTGGGTTCAGACCACTATCTAGTACAAGGGACATTCAAGGTGAACTGAAAGCCCCGAGGATACCTGGGGATAGGACACAATGCAAGTTCAACACGCAAAAGCTGAAGGAAACAATCACACAGGACATTTTCAAAGCAACTGCCAGAGCAAAGCAGGAAACACTACGTGGCACCACTGAGGAATCATCCGTGGAAGACCACTGAAACTCTCTGAAGGTGATTTTCAACGAAATGTGTTCAACGGTTTTAGGAGAAAGAAGAAACAAGACAAGGAATGGCTCTCAACGGACACTTTGAAGCGAATAGAGGAGAGGAGAATGGTGAAAGAGAAAATGATTCAATGCAAAGATGGACAAGAGAAAGAGACGCTGAGCTCAACTTACACAGCACTGGACAAAGAAGTGAAGAAGAGTGCCAGGAAGGACAAAAGACAATTCTACGACAATCTGGCTACTGAAGCTGAGAAGGCAGCAGGCAAAAGGGACCTGAGGACACTATATCAGATAACCAAGTCTCTATCCGAGAAGAGATCAACACAAGTGAAACCTATAAAAGACAGCCAAGGGAACCTGATTACCAAGGAAGTAAAACAGAATAAACAATGGGCGGACCACTTCAAAGGACTCTTGAACCGATCACCACCTACAACCTGTCCAGAAATGCCAACAACAGCACGTACACAACTGCAAGTTGACACCAATCCTCCAACGAAAGCTGAAGTCTTGAATGCAATCAAGCTTCTGAAAGCTGGAAAAGCAGCTGGACCAGATGGAATACCCCCTGAAGCACTGAAAGCGGACCCAGAGACGACAGCAGATATGCTGACTCCATTATTGCAAAAGATCTGGAAGGAGGGAAAGGTGACTACTGACTGGAGGAAAGGTTACCTCGTGTAACTACCAAAGAAGGGCGACTTAGGACTCTGCAAGAACTGGCGAGGAATCATACTTCTGTCGACGCCAAGTAAAATCCTGAGTCACATCATCCTGGAGAGAATAAAGGACTCACTGGATACAGAACTCCGACCAGAACAAGCTGGATTCAGGAAAGGCAAATCATGTTCTGACCAAATTGCAACTCTACGCATCATCATTGAACAAACCATGGAATGGCAATCAAACCTCTACCTCAACTTTATAGACTTTGACAAGGTCTTCGATAGCGTGGACCGTGGAGTAATTTGGAAACTACTCAAGTACTATGGCGTACCCCAAATATTCACCAACCTTACTCTACAGCTATACGACAACGGCACATGTCAAGTGATCCACAACGGAAAAATCAGCGAGGCGTTTGGAGTAAACACAGGAGTCAGACAAGGGTGCTTATTATCACCAATGATATTCCTAATTGTGGTGGACTGGATTATGCGTCAGACAGTGGGAAACGGGAAGACAGGGATATCCTGGACAGACGTGAAGAATCTAGAAGACCTGGATTTCGCGCGTGGATGATTTATGTTTGATGTCACACAAAATCGAAGACTTACAAGCGAAAACCGACAAACTGGCCAGATAAGCAGGCAGTGAAGACAGGACTCCAGGTGAACATAGACAAGACGGGGGTTATGAAAATAACCAACCAACAACAGCAACAGCAACATCCAGTGCCAATCACCATCAACGGGAGGGATTTGAAAGAGGTTACTTCTTTCACTTATCTAGGGAGCACTGTCTCAACTACAGGAGGAACGGACGAGGATGTCAAATCGAAAATCGGGAAGGCGAGAAACACATTCATCAACCTGAAACCAATCTGGAAGTCTTCGTCACTCAACTCAGCAGCAACAACAAAATTCGGATTTTCAATACAAACGTCAAGTCAGTTCTTCTATACGGATCAGAAACTTGGCGGGTCACAAAGAATATCTCCAACAGCCTGTTGCAGACCTTTATCAACAACAACTGTCTTCGTTCTATACTGAAGATCAGATGACCGGAAAGAATCACCAACAAGAAACTATGGGAACAAACAAAACAAAACAAGAACTAATCGCTCAACGAATATGCAGGAGAATGTGGAGATGGATTGGACACTCGGTGAGGAGGCCGCTGGGTGACATCGCACGTCAGGCCATAGCTCGAGTGGAACCCGAAAGGGAATCGGCGAGTGGGACATCCAAGGGTGACATGAAGGAGATCGTATGAAGAAGAGTTGAAACAGCATGGATTACCATGGATTGAAGTGAAAAGTACAGCAGAAAACAGAAGCAAGTGGAGGCGTGCAGTTGAAGCCCTATGCTCCACTAAGAACCCAAGGGAAGAATAATACAAATTTACAAATTGTGGATTTGATTCATGCCATTATTAGTTGGACCAAGTAGATAGCCAGAAATTAGGTGATTTGAACTGATTCGGCTATCTGAACTCAATCTAACCGGTTGCATGACTGATGAAATCGGCCCCAAACAGGTTAAACGGCCATCCGACGTTTAGACTACTTCGATGATCTGGCTAGAAAACACTGTTGGTTAATATGCATTGCATACAGCTGCTCATCTCAGTTAATCAGTAGTATGTAGTCTTATGCAAATTTTATGTGTTTTTTTGTTTCCTTCACGTTCCCCAGTGGAACATAGGGCTTCAAGCTAGGGGCTTGAAGTTTCCGTAGCAGTGTTTATTTTACAGGATGAGGTTGCTAGCCTCATACCCAACCTTTCCTCTTTACCAGCACTATTTCTGGCTTAGCGAGGTAAAGGAGTGCGTTGGCGGCCGGGGATCGAACCCTGGACCATGTGCATGGTTGGTGAGCGCCCCAACCGCTATACCACCGACTCACCAAATTTTATGTACAGTGTTGTATATCACAGATATCTAAATGAAGATATACCTTTCTCAGTTATTCATTTATACTACTGTGGATTCCAATACACAGAGACTGACATTACATGTTGCTTTGAATTCCACGGTATTTAATTAGAGGGCATTTCGAGCAAAACTGTATTTTCATTAATTTCTCTTCAGGCTTCACAATTATGTGATAAAACCATTCGGAATTAGCCGTACAAACCACTGTAGTTAATAGAATCAATTATCAGATAATTACTATATAATACTCGTAATTAATACAATAGTCACAGCAATAAATCCATATGAGTGTTAGCAGAATTTGGATAGTCAGTGTGGATGTGAAAGTAGGTTCTGTATATTTTTAAGGGTTTTTGAGAATGAATAATTATTCTCTCATTGTAAAAGAAAAAAATGTTTGGAAAATCCCTTCTCAACCGTCGAATCACATTACTTATACTTATTTGGATGTTTCAACTAACTTTCCAGTTATTATCCGTTTTCCTCCTACACTGTGTATCACATGTTGATTTGAACCCTATTATCATTTTTTTTCCACATTCAATATCGAATGTTTAATACTTCTCATTGAACCTCAGTGGGTTCGTACCTCAGAAGAGTCCCAAACTTAGATGAAACAGCTATCTAGTACTCCTGGGTTTTCCAATGGTCCTCTAACGTGTTGTACAAGGTGATTTGTTCTAGTGAATCAAAGTCATCCTGATCTTGGACCGTCTGTGGCAAGCGTTGATGTGTTATTCTTGCTGATAGAGTTTTGATCCCACCTTGTTAAGAGTATTCTGCTTGATTCCCAGATACTTCTTACATTTGAATTTTAGTTAACCAATTTTCTTCTTTAGTACTTGTTTTGTAACTAGGACGTTCTCTTGACTGCCTAAGGGTACCGTCGAGGTAAATTCGAGATTCTGATGTTATTATTGTTGAACAGAAGCATACATAGATTCCAATCATTAATAATCGTCTTTTTGAGGTCTTGGGAGCGCATGTCTCAAGAAAGCTCCGAACAGCTATACACTAGGACATGGAGATCGGTTTCTTGCTTTCAGACCACAGCCAGTCAAACTGGTCGCATTAGAGGATAAGTCTATCTGAGAAAGTCATGGGCTGGCAAAACTATTATAGGATGTAATGACTACTGAGTGAATGTGGAATGAAAATCTAAGCCGATGTAGTAAACTACAAAAAAATTAGGCATTCATTCAAGTAACATCTTTGAGTAACAACTGTGAAAAAGGTGGGTTCCGGTGGCGGCTCCATAAATTAGCATAAAGTATTTTCAACTACATTTTTTATGCATAATCACTGTCATACATTTGAATCAATAATTCGCAAGTAGTGATTCCTTTCTTTCACAATTCACTCAAGTCAGAGAATAAAAACATTTTGAATTGGTGGATTGAACGCACATAATATAATCAGTGTTAAAGACTCGAAGGCATCTGGAAGCTTAAAGACATCCCTTCTAGCATTAGGGGCATAACTCACTGATTTACAGAGTAGCATAAGACACATGCGTCAACGGATATCAGTTATTAAACCTTTTATTCTTTTATCCATTAGTGTACACAACTGAATCAATAGATATCTGCGATCAAATAGTCATATCGTACACAAGCTGGTATAAGAATAAATTACCAGTGTAATTCATATCTGTAACCAGAATCAAACTTAAGCGACAACTGTTATTATACACTGTATTAAGGCACTCATATTGGATTGATGACAATAAACTACTTCAGTCTCTGAATGATAGTAGTGAACATATCACAAAATAAACACATCCGAAGTACAAGCACTACAATTTTCAGTTTACTTTACCATTAATTTACACGCTTTCAAAGTAGAAAAGGAGGATGAGAGAGAAGAAGACAGAAAACAGAAAAATCTAATGAACAGTGTTTGCTTGTAAGTCCATATGAGAGCCACCCAAACAATAAATTCATCATGCAAGGTGGATATAACGATGAGATTCATTTCCTCCACGTTAATGTACGAAGAAGAAGAAACGATAGTTCGATCGTAAAGTTCATCGATAGAAAAGAAACCGGTACTGGAAAACATCTTCACTACAACAACTTTTGCCCTATACGCTATTAGCGTGGATTAGTAAAGACACTGTACGACGGAGCAAGGAACTTATGTTCACTCAATATGGTGCAAGAAGAACTAGGCTTTCTTAAGAAATACCGAAGGGAAAGTGAGTATCCAAAGGGATATACCCGAAAGTATGACGAAGAAAAAGATGAGGAAATGAAAAGAAAGAGTCCATTTGCCTTCCATTCAAATGCGAAGCAATATCAGAGAAGACTCATAAGAGAATGAAGCAACAAAAAAATGCTTCTCTGCAGCTAAGCTCGTAACTTCATACAGCCCCACTTGGTCTATAACCCAGTCTGAACTGAACAGTTATCCTGCTGATGTAATCTCCGACTGCAGTTGCATTGAAATAATAGATACAAGTGCTTCTATCCGGTTTTCATAGCACATTCCAAGATACATAGGCTCAAAAAGAAACAGATATTTACAAAGTGAAATTACCAGACACCATATGGATACGTCGAGATTTCTGAACCGTTCAAAATATTGAACCTACAAAAAGTAGCAAATTCACTACGATTTGCTGAAGTAATTACAATCAAACGTTCTAAACCAAACTTATGCATACAGTAAGAGGGTATAGTCAATGTTTCACTAGCTTGGTGTCTGCATTTTGATCACAGTGATTAGTTATCCATATCAGTAATCTCAGCTCATTGACAAAGTTTTTCATCTTACGAACTATGAGCTTCTTGAGTTGCTATATGAACCTACAAGCTAACACTGTTTTATTAGATTTTTCTGTTTTCTGTCTTCTCCTCTCAACCACCCTCCTTTTCTACTTTAAGAATGTATAAAAAGGTGATAAATCAAAATAAAAACTGCAATGCTTACATTTCGGATGCGGTGATTTTATGATATTTCCTCTACAATCACTCACACATTGAAGTATACTAGTATCGCCTATTTTTATAATTTCAGGTAGTTTGCAGGAGCTGATGAGGAGAACCTGCGCAATAGAATGTGTTATCATTTTATGCTGCACATTTGGTCTTTCTACCCTTATCGAAATTCATCAATGCAACCAAGTGTATAAGACAAGATTTCATCTATTAAGTTGACCATTTCAACATAGTAAAATTAAAATATACTCACTTCAGCAGATGCACTTCTCCAGAATGCATCTATCACTGTTTTATTACTGTCACAACCACAGGAGATTGTATCGTTCATATAACCCGTGAAACTACTGTTACACCAATCTAACTCATCGAAAATGAATCCTGTTTATTAAAAGAAAATCAATAAAGTTTAATTAACATTCTGGATTATTCAATGAGTGTACCAATTATAAAAGTAAAGCTATTTGTCCAATATATATTCCAATATATCATTATTATCCCCATGGGTCCCAAGTGGAACACAGGGCTTCAACAGAATATCTCCGTTTCATTCTCTTCTCTGCGGTCCTCCTCAGTTGGCTCTATGTTTTTCTATAGGCCCTCATCTCTTTATCACATGGTCTCCTCCATGTCACCGTCAAACACACGCCCAACTTGTCGTTTTCCACTCAAGCGACGGCCCGATGTGCGATTTCAACCAGCAGTCTTCTCAAAGTGTGCCTGATCCATCTCCATTTTCTTCTCTTTATTTGTTGAGCAATGGTTTCTTGATTGGTTAGTTCCTAAAGTTCCTTGTCACTGCCTTATCCTTTCTGGCTGACCACCTGGGCTTCAGTTTAAAGCCAGTGAAGGCAGTTGTTGATTAAAGTCTGCAGCATTTAGCTGGAAATGCTTTACGTGACGTGTTGGCCACATTTCTGACTCATGTAGAAGAAGTGACTGACTAAATACTGGTGCTGAAAATCCGAATTTTGTTCTTTGTCCTGAGTGAAGTAGATTTCCGAACTGATTTCAGTGATGCCTTTCCGATGCTGACTGGCTCTGACATCCTCATCCTTGCCGCCTGTGGTTGAAACAATGCTGCCTAAATTAGGCAAGTAAAAGAACTGATTTCCTTGAAATTTCCTCCGCTGATCGTGATTGGTGCTTGTTGTTGTTGTTGCTGTTAGTTGGTTGGTTATCTTCATCACCTCTGTTTTCTCAACGTTTACTTGAGGTCCTGTCTTGGCTGCCTGCTTCTTCAGCCAGTTTGTTGGTTTCCGCCCATAAGTCTTCGAGTTTTTCTGACATAATACATAAATCGTCCACGAAATTCAGATCTTCTAGAGTCTTCTTATCGGTCCAAAGCATTCCTGTCTTCTTGCTGCCTAAGCGCGGTGTGTTGCATAATCCAGTAATATCTCTTGAAAAGATATCTAAATCCCTATAGCTAAGAGCTTGTATTTAGATGAACCAAATAAAAACAAGCACTTACACTCTGTAAAAGTGTTGTTGCGAATTCCTACGACAAAATGTGTTCTAGCACCACCCACTGTCGTCGTTACACTGCACTTATTCTCTCCTCTCATAGATCAAGGCGCTTCACTAGAATTTCAGAACTAAGTGTTTCTTTTATAAGCCCCTCGTCTTCTACAAACAGCTGAAGCCTTTCTGAATTCACCTGAAAAAAGTCACATCTGTGTGTTCAGAATCAGTTCGTACAACCATTTTCTTAAACCCTGACACCATTACATGAATGTTAGAAAAAACTGAAAATCCCGTCCTACACCTAAGCCTTTTATAAGCTACCATTGTCTCGGGCTTCCGAAATCATATGCTGAAAATTCCATACCTGTACCAATAATACGGTGTGGAATCAAGCTACAATCAAAATTAAAATAAAAATTATTTTATTAGTCTGACTCTACTCTAACTACTACTTATTGCGTAATCAACTTAAACACTCACTTATTCCTTAATTACTCTTTATTTTTTTTTTCAAAATTATGCGTTACGAAATCTACTTGTATAATTTTCACAATTAATCCTACCCTTTAACTGTTGTAATAATTTTCTTGGTTAATTACCACACAAACCCTGACATGTCGGTAATGACTAATTAGTGTTAACAGACTTATCACCACTAGATTGGTAAATTTGTTTTGTACTGTATTGTAAATTAAAAACAGTTAGTTCTCTTTATGAATTTGGACAAAGCGACAGGGAGACATAATTTGTTTGAATCGTGTAATGCTGTATTTGTGCAACACATTTCGTACAATCTGAACATACACATGGACTTGTCATAAGAATATATGTATGTATGAAATCAATAAAGAGTTAAGAGAGCCTTAGAAAGGTGCCTCTTCAGTAGAATCCAACGAATATGCCATGAAGACACACTTGATGAGGAAGAAGGAAAGTTGACACAAACTCTGGTTGATAATAATTATCCACATTATTATTTTATTTATTTTATTTTTAATATTTTGATCGCAGCTTGATGCCACACCGTATTTTCAGCGCAGGTACGGAATTTTCAGCATGGATATCGGTAGCCCAAATTTTGCCGGCCAACCATAGATATCGGGTGTGCGTCGGCAGGGAATCGAACTCCGGACCATGTGCATGGTCGGCGAGAGTCTTAACCACTGTGCCACCGACCCAGGAGATGTAAAGTCGTCAGTAAAACACCAAGACACCCACTCTCTAACTTGCCGCCAAGAAATACGTGTACATCAAGCTACTCTATACAGGTGATCCTAGCAGCTTGATAACTAGACAAAGACTGAACACTGCTGTGGTTAAAAAGACCTTTTATGTAACTAAAATCATATTAATTGAGGATGTGAAGCCAATATATCCATCTAAGCCCTTCGAACATGCGAAAAATGATGTCACATCCCACTGTATTTACCATTTTGAATGTACGTGTGGACACACATACATAGAGATGAATCATCGATCTCTACAAGTAAGAGCTTTGGAGAGTATTCCTCAATGACTTCTGAAGCAAATAGAATCCTCAGAACCAATTAATGGTGACAACAGGAGACCTAGCCCCTTTATTGTGAAACATATTATAGAGACAGGACAAAGGATTGATTTTTACACGTCATTTAAACCTATCTGTAAAACGTGTTTGGGGCGTATCCCAAAGTTTGTGGAATCGCTAGCTAAAAGGTTAGGAAGTTTAAACCACCTTTATGCGTTCAAAGCAACAATTCGTCATCACAATAAACCTTCCTTGGTAAATTTTGTTTTGATATCAGCCAGGGTAGATGTACCATCATTACCTCTCTTATTTTGTTTAATGATCTTCATTGTTACTTTCACCGTCAGTCTGTCCTTTTAACTTGACCTAAATCTATTTTCTCACCTCTCACCTCTTTATTAATTTCATATATATTCATATGACAAGTCCGTGTGTGATCAGATTGTTCGTAATGTGTTGCACAAATACAGCATTACACGATTCAGACAAATTACGTCTTCTTATTGCTTTGTCTGTGTTATAAATTAGTGTAGATACATAGATAAGAATCTTCTCTCAATCCTTTTGTCTTCTAAAAAATTTTCTCACTGAAGTTAAACCATAAATAACACTAATATTATGAAACTTTAAAAAAATTACTAACCTGCTAGAGTTGTCTCCAAGCTAGAACATACTCCTAATCGTTTACACAATGCACGAATTACATCAAATGCTTGTGAGTAGAAGTGAGGCTTAAAATTTTAACAAATATTGAAAGAAAAACAGTTTTCTACATTTAGCTGTTTGAAAATTATTTTTGCAAATAATGAAGTTATGAAGTGAAATTTTTATGAATAATTACTTCAGAGAAACAGTTTGTGTTTCAAGGGTCCGTTAGTAGAGATTTGATCTGATTCAAGCTTGATCACAGATTGATATTAGTTAGAGAACTAGTGAAAACTAGAAATTCCTGAACAGCTGCTTCATTCTAGTCTCTGGCTTATTAGCAGTTCTCACCCACCGACCAAGATTCAAACCCAGAACCTTCCGATTATGAGGAAAGTTCGTAGACCTTTCAGCTTCTAGTGTAACGACAGAAAACAACGGCCAGGCAGCAGATCGTTTATTAAGGAAATCAACACATATTTATAGATTTTCATGTACATTGTTATAGATTATTGTAAGTAAACAAACACAGTCTTCTGATTAATTGTTTCTCACTGAAAGTTAATCTTTCATCTCTTTGTGGCTGTTTCTTGAATGTAAAATCATCTATCTGCTTATTGTATCCACCTACTCAAAGTCTGCTGTGATTAGTTGTTGAGTCAGTCTTTGTTCTTGTTTTCACATGACCAATATTTGGGACATAAAAATTGACGTTAATTACTGTCTACCAATTAGGCTAGCAGCCAGCTCCCACCACAAGAGGACCCGACTCAGTGGCCAGCCCATGAACTCTAACTTCTTCCAGTTCGTGATTTTAGCGCTACTGGCACCAACCAATGTTGTCCAAAAGTATTTTTCCTCTCTCCCGACCTAGGAAGACCCGACTGGTCATGACTTCTCCCTAGAAAGACCTCCAGTCAACTTCATCCTGCAAGCGGCCAGTAGCGAGCATAAGATTAATATTCAAGATATTGGTTTTGTAGGAATTTTGTTTGATTGGTTAAAGGATTTCACCATAAGCTGACATCAGTTAGAGAAACAATGGAAAACCTGCAGGGAGTACTGGACAGCTGTTTCGTCAGCCTAGTTTGGGACTCTTCATCGGTACGCACCCACCGGGGCTTGAACTCAGGACCTTCTGGTTACAAGGCAAGCTCGTAGACCATTAGGCCACTGGGACCTGATCCAATGGTCCTTGAATTCCAACTTTTGCCAATTCACGACATAGCGCGTCTATTTCGCAATGTCTTCTTAAATGAGTTACTGCCTCATCTTCAACTTGCTGTATCCTACTGGTCACAGTTTCGCACCAGAACCCCAGTTAGTTTGTAGGAATTGGGATTTGATCACGGATTCACTTAGTTTATTGATTTTAGTTTGTGTTCCGTAAAGGCAAAGTAATTTATTAAATGCCTTTAGTGCTAACAGGAAATCCGGATTCATTTTTCATTATGATTTATTTACCTTTACACCGATACTTCTAGATAAATTCATAATATCTAGTACTTTTTTCATTTCACTTGAATCATGTTAGCATTAAATAAGAGATAAAACTATTACCTTTTACTACAGTATGAAAGAAAAGTTGTTGCTTACTTCACTGATATTTGGTTGCTTTTCAAAGGCTTTTAAAACAAAGTCATCAAAATGTTGTGGATCCGGTGGACATTTTGATTGATTAACTGCCGAATGTACAGCATCATCGAACATATTCCATATTTCAGTACAGTTTATACTTTGAAAATGTAAAAGAAAGTTCAATTCAGAAAATTATTGAGATATGTAATAGATTTTGCTCGAAACAAATATAAATAGATGAATCATAAGGGTTCGAGTCCTGACTTTCAAACCGACTATTATTATTATTATATTATTGTTTCCTTTAATTTCTAGAGGAAAATAGGGCTTCAGCCACGCGTCTCCATTTCCTTCGGTTCTCTCCTAGAGTCTTCACCTGGCTGGCTCCAAGTCTGCCCACACGTTTTCATCTCCTCTTCACATGACCTCCTCCAAGTCACCCTTGCACTGACGACCAACTCGCCGCTTCCTTTTCGGGTTCCACTCGAGGGCTTGTCTAGTGATCATTCGTATATGTACTGGAAATCACCAGTTATCTGGAACTACAATTAACAAAAACATCTATATCACTTGACATTAATGGAAAGATTTTAAAAATAGGGAAGAGGCATTTTTCCCACTGAAGCCGAACACACTTTGCTGACTTAACACACCTGCTGGTGTATTAAATTCTATAAGGAATATAGAAATTCTGACAAAAACTGATCATATACTTTTCAATATATTTAACAGTCAGACAGATCCTTGAAATTCACCCGACCTAACATATATTTATATACTGTCGGTGATGCAGCAGTAGAATGCTCTCCAACTACTCACTTTGTCCGAGGTTCGATTCCGGCCGGCGCACTCCTGTACCTTGCTAAGCTGGTAGTAAGGCCGGTAAAGAAGGAAGGTTGGGCGTGCGGCCAGCGACCACTGCTACTGAAACTTTAAATCTCTAGCCTGAAGCCCTATGTTCTACTGGAAACTCGAAGGAATAAAATAAATAATAAATAATACTATTTTCTACTGTATATTTTTGTACTGATATGAGACATAAACATTGAGGTAAACCGACTACTTAAAAGAATAAAAGTAGTAAACATTTTTCATTTGTACTTTGACAGTAAAATTAAACACGCTAAGAGTAGTATTACTGCAAAACTATATCCATGTACAGAAGGAGTTCCCGACCGATAGCTGCTACTTTGACGTGGTGGTCGGGCTTGCATATTGCGATGACCCAACGAGCTACACTGGCTGAAACTTATGTTCCTGTAGGTCCTACCATGCCAGAAAGGTTGTTTGGATAGCGGTTAGACAAAAAGCAACTACCCAATCCAATACTATGGCTCACACAAACTCACAAAATATCATGCCGGATCGGTCGGGGCCCGGATTAACAACGACTGCGCTTCCTGCTGCTGTCACAGGGCAGAAGTGATAAATATGCTACTGAGACTCACCAAACAAGAAAGAAAAACCAAAAGCAGGCAGCGTGTGACCGGCCTCAAGCAGTTGTCCCCTGGGCTCTGCGGTCACGCAACACTAACTTTTTCTCTCTCCCCTTCTCAGGCGTGAGGCTAGCAACCCCACCCTGTAAAAAAAGCTACTACAGAAACTTCAGCACGACGAATCTCTTTGCGCCGAAAGAAAGAGTCTGTGTGGGGACATGGAATGTCCGCACCATGTACGAGATTGGCAAAGCTGCCCAGATCGCAACAACAGAAGGAGTTTATCAATAGAAAACAGCTGTTGATAAGAAGTACTTTAAATGGGGGGGAAATTTAAGGGAACATATTCTCATGTAGAGTTTATAATTCTGGGAAATACAAAATGAATTGACTGACCGGTTTCAACATAGAACTTTGCACAAAATTGCCACACTCCATGTACGATACATAGGAAGACAAAGGAGAGAAAGCAAACGGTTGAAAAGGACGATGATAAGGAGAAATCAGATGGAAAATGGATAGTAACATGTGAAAACAATATGCTTTAATGGATAAGGGAGGTCAAAAAGACTGAATGCATCTGCACCGACTGACAACGATTTCGAGCCAGATCATCAATTGTCTCCAGCCAGTGGTTCTCAGAATCCCGAGGACCCTAACCAGACAAGCAGTCTACACCTCCCTACACATGACTGGCTCAAATTAACTGTTATAGATTCCGTGGGCTGATTCCATGTTTTGGTTTGACCACCACTAGCTTTTTTTCAACCTGATCCTATGTCAGCTAAAACTGACTGTCGAGGAAGGCGATGGCTAGGCATACATAGCACATGTCCTGATCACATCAATCTATGTGGCTTCACACCTTTATCAATTGACTTTTCCACCTTACCTAAGACTCTACACTTAGCATGAATACTACTCATCGTGGAAGAGAGAAACAAAATGAATTATCTACCCATGGGTTCGCTTCCATTTACTGTGAGCTGAGTAAATTACTGACATCAAAATGTCATGATTCAATATGTATATAAATATTAATATATACTGCCAAAAATATCACTCCTTTTAAGACAGCATGAAGTAACAACAGTGAAGTTGATATTTTTGTGTAAATGGTCACCTTTAAAGGTCTAAGAGACCTATGTATACACCACTGGACAGTATTTGGTGATTACATCCTTTGAACTTTGTTCTCAAAGGTTAATTTGCAGTTCAATTCGTCATCTACACCATGTATTATAATTATAAAAATACCTTTTAACCAAAGCCTGCGACTCATAAGCTCTTGATTGACCCTGCGCATTCACTCTAAATAACTCAAACTTTCGAAATGCTCCATTTTGCGAAGAAAATCCAGTCTTGTTTGCTTCTTGGAAACTACTGCCATCAAAAGATTACAATCTAATCTCTGTATTGTAGAAAGGTAGTATGATTTATCTTACAATATATCCTGAAAACTTGATGTCTTTACTCTGTTTCTGTGTTTTTGTTGAGTCACATTGTATTTTTTTTACTACAACTCACTGAGTTGTATTCATTATCAGTCTTCCAGTTTACTTGGTTGTTTGTTTACGTAATCATTTTACCTCTTTTCAACACTTTTTTTCACTCCCACTCTCTTCTCTTCAACGTTCCATCCCGAATATCACGAATAAACCCTGACTGTTGTCAGACCACTGACTATCTTTTATTTTATTGATATAAGTATAAACCTTGGGCACTGTGGTAGAGCATAACTCCATTATGGATAAGATTTTATCTTGATAAATCACACAGTGTAGTGTTATAAAGTAATATTAACTGATGACTTTTCGAGCACAAACTATTGCTCATAATCATATCAAGGCACTCATACAACTTTTTTCCTTCATTTATATACATGAGTGAAATTCACTAGATATTGGAATAAAAATCAATATGGGATAATGTACATTCAGAAATAATAATATGAGTGTCACTGATCAATTACAATCAGATGGGAAATAAGACGAGTGTTTTTATAGTCAAAATAAGCAACTTGTTAGAATGTTGTGATGTGCTTGAATCGAAATAGAATTTTAAGATTATTTATTATCCTCCTCTGATTTGACTGGCGGTAATAATATCTTCCATATTTCTGGTATTTGCATTGAGTCATTTCTGTTGCATGTGTTGGGTGTAGACTCGATGAATAAGGATTCCATAATCAACCTCTCTCCCCACCTACCTAAATTACTTTTTAGAATTTTAACCCTATCCCACCCGCCTTATTGTGTGGTTGTTTGTTAATGCGTGAAGTGCAATTCTCGAGCTTTTTTCTAAATTACTTATCTTCTCTGGGTCAACCATTCTAACCTTAGTTAAATTCTTATTTTCTGACAATCTGACTACCCCTGACCTACTAGTTTGACCTATGTAGTTGACCTCACAGTCATTGCAGGGTATTTTGTAAATTATATTATTTTGTTTAATTGGGTCCACCGGGTCTTTTAGCCTACAGAGCTTGTCTCTGAGTGAGTTTGTAGGTTTGAATGCCACCCTAATTCCTGCTTTATTAAGAATCCTACGTAGGGTCTCAGATGTCCCCTCCTTATATGGTATTACAGTGAATGACTTATATTCTCTTTTATTTATGTTTTCATTACTAGTTCCACAATTATTTTTATTTTGTTTTTGACCTTTACTGGTCTTCCTAATGGATTTTATAGGATAGTTATTTAGAACCAACTTTTCTTCTATTTGTTTTATTTCGTTATTTAGGTCTTTTTTTGTGCTACTTAGTGCTATGGCTTGGTTTGTTCGACACTTAACTGAGCCTGCCTTAACAGTTAAAGGATGATACGAATTAAAATCTAAATATCTATTAGAATGAGTTGGTTTTCTATAAACACTAGTTAATATTACTGCATACCAGTTAATATTACTGTGTAACACTGTGTGATTTATCAAATTAAAATCTTATCCATAATGGAGTTATCTTTTATTCATATCTCTTGTTTGACAACTATTCACCCTATGAGTTGAAATAATTTTTCAAGTATGTTATGTATTTTCGCATTCATAATAAATTTTGCCATTTTCAAGCTGCTAACAGCTGATGAAACGCCATGAAATAAAAAAATGAGCTCTATTCATCCTGCAAATATGTTCGTTCCCTCTCTCTCTTTCTGTGTTCAAACTAATCAAGAGAACAAGTTGTATGAAATCGCTAATCCACTAATTTCATCAAACCAAAAATTATTCCCAATAAAAAAGAAACAAATTTAACATCAACACAAAGAAATTCAATAGCTTACTCAGTGACTCCATTTAAAATAGTCCATTGAATACACCTTGCTTGAACTATATCAGCAAACAAATTTCTTCTCTCTTGTGCAGTAGTAATAAAAATCAAACTCAAAAATACAATATAAACGTTCTTGTTTATCATTTCAGTATCTCAACGATGGTTTAAGGAAAACATTGAGACTTATATATATACATCTATATACATACATTCAAATAGTCATGCTTCTAAACTTGAGTACTAGTTCAGAAAAGATGACTCTATTATGCAATATTTGTCATGTGTTTGAGCCTGACCTATTGACACATTTTGAGTGACACATGGTTCTAAAAGCTAGAAAGAAAGTGTCAGTTGTTTAACAAGTTATTTATAAATGTAACTGATTAATTAAGCAACATTTAGCGTCAGTAAAGTTCAAAGATTAGTAA